ACTTTACTTAGGCAAGCAAATGTTTAAAAAATTTACAGGTTAGATATTATTAAGCAGGTGTTTACTAATACAGAGAGAATGCTGCTAACCCATTCATTATATAAGACGCAGTACACATGTTTGCGCATAGGCCTAGATAGAAGCGGTACAAAACATCATGTCAGATGGTGGACACCTGGTAAATTTTGTAGAAGAATTTCTGATCTCCGAAGTCATACACGTCTTATTTCTAGTATGAAGTAATAATACAATATCTACATGGAATTTTATAAACAGAAATTTTTTTATTAAGGTCAGTTAGCTTGCATATTTTTATATGTGTATACTCCCCGTGCATAGAAAATTGTTTACTTTTAATTGAAATCACTGTTATGTACCTATTCACTTATTGATCATTATATTCAAGTTGATCAATTTATCCTGTTTCCGTGTCATCATATAACTATAATCATATTTCCTTAAAGTTTAACTTGTACAGATAATTAATTCTAGTAAAAAGATAAATAGTTTCAACCCGCTTAGAATTTAAGGAGAATCCTTTTCAAGACTAACCTAACTTTCATGATGTTTCATGTAGGTGGGTATATGATATACTGACTTACTTTAGCCGCCTAAATTACTGTAGAGTAGACTTGCTCTACTTCTGTTCGTGATTTATTCCCTTTCTTGGGTGAGTAAATAAGAACTCTTGTTAGCTAATCACTGTGTGCAACTCGTTATTGTTTTTCTGATGTTTTAATGTATCAAATGATTTTTTGTTTATGTATATGGCCTATTATTTATTTGTTCATGTATTTGAAGGTCTACTGAGTTTAAAATGAAAACTTTCATCTTGGATGTTGTGAAGAGTCCCAACTAATGTCGGCTCATGATGAAATCCTGTAACCAATCAGTCAAATGCCTACAAACCAATACTTGAATATTCAAGAAGTTCAAAAGTATTCTGTCATTGGTTTTCTCAACATTTAATTGATTTGTACTCAGTCATAAGGCGTTCACCAGTATTCTAGATGGCATCGTTATAAAGTTTTGTTGTACCAAAACTATGCATCAATATCAAAATGGACAACTACTATAATTTCAACTATTTGAAATAATGTTAGTTTGTTAATCACATCCAAGTATGCTTTGTCGACCTTCTGTTACATATGTAGTGCTAAGTGTCCAAGAAATCTTGTCTTTACTTTCGTAGATAAAAGAACCATGAAGTTGTATTCTAATGGATATGATATGACAAGCAAAATATATGAGGAAAACCTCAAGAAGTCAGAAAGCAGTCAAAGGAATTTCCACTTTAGGATTATTACTAACAGATAAATGAACACCAGTCATAAACAGTTTGATACAGTGATAAACTCTGATTGAAAACGAATCCCGGTGGGTGCGTACTGATGAAGAGTCCCAAACTAGTCTGACGAAACAGCTGTCCAGTACTCCCAGGTTTTCCAGTGGTTCTCTAACTGATGTCAGCTCATGATGAAATCCCGAAATCAAATTTAATCATCCAAATATGAAGATAATCATGTCAAATAACTGCTTCTTTCATATATTTCCTCTAATGCGTTCACAAAGCTTGTACACACACACTCTCTCTCTCTGATGTTCCTTTTGTCTATTTTACGCGTTCATATACCAACAGACTTTTTTTTCTGTTTGCTTTGTTCGATACTGTTATCAAGAAACTAACTGTTTATTCATTTTACATAGGTGCAATCATCTTAACAGATTTCGGAATGAAGTAGAATTTTACTTTTAAGACTTTAAGGAAAAAAGTAAGAGTTAAAAGCGAAGAGTTTTCTTTTTATATGTATATATATTCAAAGATATGTTCAAGATATTCAAAATTTTAAGAATTTTGCTAACCTCAGAGTACTTTTTCTCTTTTGGTATATTAACTTTTATAAAATCTGAAAGAAGGCGAAAAAAAGAAATCTTAACCAAACTTTTCTAATCACAAAAACACAAGTGGTTTGTTTAAGTTTCTTTTTTCTCTTTTTTTAAAATAAAAGGTGGGAAAATATTTCGTTTTAGAGACTGTTCTTTTTAAACTTCTTCATCTCTCTCTTAGTTGGTAAATGTCTGGATGCTTTTTTCAGATAGAACAGTAAAAGTTAAAAGATAATGAGACTTCAATTCTTTTCTACTTATGTGTAGTATGTCTATACAACGTTTTCTTTGCATAGACTAAACGGTAAATATTATACATGTGTTTTGATGATGAATTCTAAATCGATTTCAAACAAAATAAGAACTCAGATATTTTATATAAGATATACAGTATTACTAATATTGTTTTCAGTAGTTTAATGCAATAATATTTTATAGACTAATAGGTAGACAGTAAGTGCTTCCTTTCCTCATTCCTTAGCGCTTCATGTAGAACATAAAGTGTTCGAGCTTGAGCTTCGACATTTCGGTGGTGGTGATTTTGTTGTTTAATTTTTACAGGGTGAGCCTCCCACCGAGCTTTCTAACAGATAGACGAGGTTAATGAGTGAGGGAGTGGAACCCGGACAAATGGTGTGTGGTTTGGTAAGCCCTTCTGCCACTGCACCACTGATGCACTTCATATTTATTGCTGAAATAAATTTCCAAATACTAAGAAAAGCATGCTCACCTTCTTTGAAAACAGGAAGAAACTTAACAACAACTTCATAAAATTTACATCTATGTTAAAATCAGAGTACTGAGTAAAATTGACTCACTTCTGTCTCAAAGTATTTTAGCAACTAATCGGAAATCAAATGATACTGAGATTAGGTATGTGCCAGTAATTCTTTATTGTACCTAGTTAGTTATCATTTACTTTTATTTATGATCTTTTAGTATCTTGTGAACCCATCTACTACACTGCATCACACTTCAAGAAGCAGTTCGTTGATTAAATTTGAGTACTTTTTTTAGATTTTTTTACTTCTCAAACTATTCCTAATATCTTTGGAGCAGTGAAGACATTATTTGGACAAAAAGTCAACTAGTGGAAGCAAATACTAGGATAAAATTTCTCAGATGGCATTACTAATTCTGCTTAGCAAAACCATAACGCACAGTAATAATGCCTGTCTTACAGAGGAGAAGCCTATGTCACAAGAAGTGATCAATACCTTTCACTACTTTTACCTGTTTTAAAAATGATTTTCTAAGATGATTATTCATATACGAAGCATTCAATTTGGTACTTCTTCTTGAAAAGTTTAAAAATAACTAAAGTTTGAGAATAAATGTGTACACGACACAGATCATTGCTCTGAATGTAAAACATAAGGCTTCAAGCTTTGACGTTTCAGTTGCAGTGGTGTCACTAAACGCTACACACCAAACCTTCTCTCTTTTCCGAGCTTACTGACAGATAGTAAACTAGACGATGCTTAGAAGTGTGTTGGCTGGTAGTCGAACGTAGATCTCTCTTCTAAGGCTAATCAGCAGTCTACCAGTAAGACCCTAACGCTCTTATCAAAGCCAAAGCAGAAGTTTTCTCTCTGTATCGCACATTTATTATATGCAACATATTATTAAATATGAAGTGCACTATGATAAACGATTTAATCTGGCTCAAATTAGGAGATGAGCACTCCTAAATATCATAACGAAATCGTTTAATACAATCCAAGCGTGTTTAGGGAATTAAAACGCTACATAATTATGGCAGACTATTTCGTAATGTTTGATTCATGACCCAGTGGTTGAAGGATGTTAATAACATTTATATATTCCTGGATAATGACAAACAATTACATAAGTACGCAATTTTTAAAGACATAACCACATGGGAACAAATAATTTCAGTTATAATCAGCCACCAACCAAGTATATTTTAGCATGAATAATCGCCTACGGTTTTCTACTGCCATAAATTGGTTTGGTTTATAAAAGTGCATATTATGTGTAAAAAAAATAACTGATTTGATTTAGCTAAAGAGTCCATAATGCTAATTAATGTGATATTCGCATCGATTTTATTGTCTAAGCAAAGGTAAACATATTTCAGTTATCCAAATATAGCAGAAATCTTATAAAAACTAGTATATCTGTGTTATTTAGTCCAAGCATGTGTGAAACTAAGAACCAAACAAACAACTAAAATACTTCCGCGTGTTTTTCTTTGAAAGCAGTTAAATAACTCAAATGTTTCCTCTAAACAGAAGGGTTTGATTGTGTTTCCACCATTTATATTGATAAAATGGAAACGAGCTGAACCCGTACTATATTCCCTTTCTTCCGGTATGAATATCGGCGTACGACTCATGCTGTTGTGTTGAACTTAGTTACACAAGCATAAAGATTCCAGAAGCTTACAATTTATTCATGTTTAGTCGTTACATAATCTTTTTTATTCCTTTACGTTCCCAGTGGAACACTGGTCTTCAAGCTAAAGCTTCACGGGATGGGGTTGCTAGCCTCATGCCCAATCTTCCCTCTCTACCAGTCTTATTACAGGATTGCGTCGGCCAGGGCTCGAACAACAGACCACAAGCACAATCGGCGAGTATTCTACCTCTAAGCCACCGGTCAGTGTTTACATTAAACACCTCATTAATCTCGGTTAATTTGATCAGTATGTATCACTGATGAGTTCTATGTTTCAACGTTTAAAACATTTCGACTCTGTAAATCAACACCATTTTTAACAGCTGTATTATATATATATAAGTGCGTCGGTGGCACAGTGGTTAGGAAGCTCGCCGACCATGCACATGGTCCCGGGTTCAATCCCCAGCCGCCAACACAATCCTTTATCTCGTTAAACCAGAAATAATACTGGTAAACAGGAAAAGTTGGGCATGAGGCTACCAACCCCATCCTGTGAAAATAATCACCACTGCTATAGAAACTTCACGCCACTAGCTTGAAGCCCTATGTTCCACTGGGGAACGTGAAGGAAATAAAAAAAGAAAACATCGACAGGATAAAAGTAAGCAATCCATTCATGCAAAAAAAATTTAATTTAACACCAACAATCAATAAGAAAGAAAAAAAAAAGAAATCATAAACAAACTTACTAGATTTTCGACATGTTGAATGATAATCATGACAACAGTCACCAGTCACTACACAACTTTCATCACAATAGCATCGATCAAGTGAGCTTGCCTGTCCCGTTGTGCTACGATACTTTTTCCACGGATAATATCTAGATATTGATGATTGTACAAGAGGTTTGTAAACAAAGCATTTCTTCTCTCGACCAGTACAACACATTGGTGTCCCATTCGGTAGACGACATCCAGTTGATATTACGGATACAATTTGATTGCATGTAATATAAACTATAAATAATGATGCAACACAATAGTAATATTTTAAATTCAATTGAATCATTATCGTATACTTTAAAATAGATGTTTTAGTTTTCTTCAGTAATATACTTCCACAGTTGGATTAAAAGGATAGTGTAAATAGAATATATGTGTACTATTCAAATCGCTGTAGGATACACGTTTATGGCCGATATAATTTAAGCGTTCATATATGTGTATGTTAAGCAGAGAGTGTATAATGAGTTTTTTTTGCCTATCTAGTGTATATGTAATCAGAAGTAATAATACTAATTTTGTTTGTCACTGTTATTAGTATTATTGTAACAAGTGGACTTGTAGGCATGTATTTAAATAGTATTTTCAGTAGAAAAGAAAAAAAATCTTTTTTTATAAAAAAAAACAATTTTGGTCAGTCGAGAAAAATCTTTCTCTGTTGTCTGATAACCGTATCCAGGTCTATATACCGGTGGCCTAGCGGCTCCACACTATATTTTGATGCTATGTGTTGTATCATTCTATGCATTCATACACATGAAATTGTGCATAGTTATGTAGGGACATACATACATATACATACAACAGTAAGCATATCCTTCAATTACACACACACATACATGTACATTATTCATCCGTATGGTGCTCAGGCCTAGACATTAGTAGGACTGACAATCAGATAGACTCTGTCTACAAAGCACTATGTGATTGGTTAATTTGAATTAATGTGTAATAGGAAAAAGACCTGACCTTCGTTTGACCCCGTATAAATTGCCATGCCCAAAAACACATTAAAAAAATTACAGTAACAGACAAACAAAATTAAATGAAAGAGGTTAAGGGGAATTTCATACAGTGGGATTAGTTTTCAACAATTGGATGAAGTAAATTACATTGTGTTGCGGTCTGATGACCAGGCTAGTTGATGAAAATGATGGGTTAAAATGCCTATGTGCATACAAAGAAAGGATTTTTTTATGTATGTTTGTGCATAAAATATTTAAGTGTAGGAGTATTTGTGTTTATTATCAGGGTCAGTCTACATTCACCTTGTCCTTAACGTAATATTCATTTGGTTTGGATAATTATTTTGAACACTTTATTACCGTTACATAATATTTCCATTCTCTATCTGTTCTATCCCTGTAATTGTCTTCCTTGGTTATATTTAATAATAAACATATCTAGGTAATTATAACTGTAAAGAAAATTGAGAGGCAGTGATGAAGAATGAATACGCTTATTAAAAAACATAATAATCGAATTCAGAAGTTTCTTTAAGAAAAATTATCAAGAAACTAATATGTGAGTGAAATTGTGCAGGTCTGTACTAATCTCCTAGGTATATCTCATTCACTCGGAAATTAAAAGATGGCATTTCAAGTACAATTTACTTTCCAGCGAAGTTCAACAATACTGTCCCAGGAGTGTGAACGCTCCAACGACCTTGAACGCATGCACCTGTCATTATCATACCTGAAACATTAACGCTACTCACCAACTAAAGAGCGAATTTCACCCAGATCACGTTTTTGAATACTTTTTGGACTGCGTTCATAGCTCGTTAGGGTTAGGATTAGGGTTAAGGTAAGTATTGGGGTTAGAATTAGGATCAGAGTCATAATTACGATTACGGTTAGTGTTTAGTTTAGGTTCAGGATAAAGGTTGAGGTTACTATGAGGGATAGATTTAGAGTTGATGTCATTTATTTTGATTTGTTTTATTATCCATATTTTCCCGGTAAGTAATCGTCGATCCTCTTACCGGAAACCATAGTAATTCAACCGAAGGCTTTTGGGGAAGATTGCACAACAGAATAATAGAGACACACGATTCACAAAAACAGCACATCTTCAGTTACCTCGGTGACTACATGCACAGAAACTAGTCTGACTGAGCAATTGATACTCCTCATTATAATTGGGACGTATTTTAAACTCATGTCAGAGAAAGATACCCTGTTTAATGTGTTTAATGTACGTCATTTTATGTGCAAAAATTCCTCATTTTTATGATTGGTCGCATCCCTTGGGACGCTATTGTTGAACTTTACCCACTGTCCATCAACTTATCAAATGTTACACCACAACTTTGAAACTCCGGTTTTATAGTCCCAGTTCTTCTCTTTGTTTGTCAAAGAGATAGAAGACTTGTTCAGATATCCAGGGCAGGTGTGGATTCATTCCAACTGCTTGTATCTCAAGTTAGGCTTCAGTAGTCAGCTTTCCCATCCACCCAGCTATGCGGAACTCTGGGACTGTTATATCTGTAATTATGTGTGACTACATGGAGGGGTGGTGGGGCTGTAGAACATTTTTTTCTACATATCACAATGGAGCCTACAAATATAGATCCGGATAAGTCGTTGTGTTGTGTTAATGTAATTGAACATTGGCTAATAGTTTGACTGATTTGCTTGACCCTATATTCATTGAGTGGCATTAGACAAGCTTAACCAGTCCGCCTTAAGATCACCACAGAGTCTCTCAAATGACACATTTTGTTTCTCAATGAGTCTATAGTTTATATTCCTGAGTAGGGCTTCCCAATTTCCTCCTTTGTTTGTCAAGGGTACGGATGTTTTAAGTTGTTCCATCATCCTAGAGCTGTCATCTTCTATGTTTGCATTCAGTGTTTATTTCAATATTACTGATCGTTTCATTTTTGTTCTTACAATCTCTCGAATACTTCCAGATAAATATTATTTTTTTGATTACAGCTTGATTCTATACTGTAAGCTGTACAGCACTTTTTGGTATATTTATGGAATTTTAAGCATCTGGTATCGGTAGCCCAAATTTTGCAGGCCGACCATTCATATCAGATGTACGTCGGCAGGGGATCGAACCCCACACCATGTGCATGGTCGGCAGAAGTTCTAACCACTGTGCCACCGACGTGCATATATCTTGCTTCCCACAGTCGACTTTCCCTCATACTGACTAGATTTTTTACCCCATCACCTCAACATCTTACTGACCTTATTTCCACTTGAAAATGTCAACCTGAGTGTCTGTAAATAGTATAATCTAACTCCTCGCCTTGGTTCATTCTGGTAGTATATTCTAATATCGGAAATCTTTCTTCGGAACTTCCTAACTCAAAAGTAAATTTGGTTATATGCATTATCTAATTTGCGCTGGAAAAAGCCTATGTACGTCCAGCTTTCATTACCATGAATATACTGTCTGCATTTCTCCACTATTATTTGAGAATACAGCTAAACTTATCACGGCTATCTTTTCCCAATTGTGTATAAACATGTCTACCACAAAGTAAGATACTGGTGATTCCATGGTGACTCTCTCAGTCATTATTACTAAGCTGAGTTAACTGAATATCATTCTGTTGAATGCTTGATAAGTCTCAGTTATAACCTCCCGAAAACAAGACATCTATTTAGTGCTATTCTTAACATCTAAGGCGACCTTCTCCTTCTGAAGAGAAGCACAAGAAAGTGCTTGCTATTTCAAAAAGAAAGACAAATGGTAAGTTCATCTGTGTCTACAGATGTTTTGTGTAATTAAAAACAGAGAAAAATAAAAATTAATAGGTTACAGGATTTCACCATGAGCTGACAACAGTTAGAGAGCCATTGAAGCAGTAAGCGCCCACGGCCAGGGCTCGAACCCAGGAACTTCTGGTTGCAAGGCGAGCTCATAGACCATGGAGCCACTGGGACCCCATCCAATGACCTATGAATTCCAACTTCTGACAATTCACAACACAGCACGTTCCAGGTGGACGGGTACAGCTGAAGAGTCCCAAACTAGGCTGACGGGACAGCTGTCCAGTACTCGCTGCAGGTTTTTCAATGGTTCTCTAAATGATGCCAGCTAGCTCATGATGAAATCCTGTAACCAATCAATTTAATCCTTACAAACTAATACTTCAGAATAAAAATGAATTCTTCCTTAGAAATACTTTCTACAAATGAAATTGTTTTCCACCAAATTAAAAACATAAACTATGGAAGATTTCTCTAAGTATACGACTGTATTTGGTATATGAAACATCGTAAGGCGTTCAGTTAACAGTAATTATGGATTTAAAAGGGTTGATTACTTATCCTGTACAAGGCATTTCTATAGTGATATTTTAGTTTTACCATTGTCTTTCAGTAAGCACCTTATATTGTATGATGGCAACACAGTGAATTAAACTTCATCACTTTGTGAACTGAGTGTAAAGACGACACAGTACTAAACTGTTGTAGTCTTTCGTTTTACTTTGAGAAAAGTTAAGACAAATCTACGTGTTCATTTAGCCTGAATTTAAGACCACACATTAATAAGCAACCGATAGTGTTGATTTAACTTTAGGTTTGGTCAGCTGTGTAGAAATATACAAGTCAATATTTACCTTAGTTCTTACCGATATAACACTGGAGTTATAGTTATAGTTTGCATTAGTCAGCTAAGCGAATATCATTAACAAATTATCTAATTACAAGTAATTAACACTTAATAACCTTTAAGTGTTTAGATGTTTTCAGGTTATATTAATTTTGTCTAAAACTACGACACTATTGCAATTAGTCTTACTGGTGATAATAGTAATAATAATGATATTTTCTTGAACCATGAAAAATTGATTAGTTATCTAGGGGATGATAAGTTAGAATAAACTTCGCTAATATTAGTGACTAAATCTGATACCATGTTGTGAAATGACACTGGCTAGAAAACCACTAAAAACGTAAAATCTCCAAATAGCTGTTTCACCTTGTTTTAGATCCTTCAAATGTACAAGCTTGTAATTTAATTACAAATAGAGCCAACAAGTGTTTGACTATGTGTAGAACACGTAATCATCACCCAACTACATAGGTAACCCAGTGACATTTAGTTTTCATTATGTATTTACTGGTGTGTTGCAGATGCAGTGGCCTGCTTGCTACTTGGGTCACCAAGATCCTTCATCATTACAGTGTATATAGTTTCTCTTGTCCGGCTTGTTTAAAATATATTCAAATATGATCTTTAATGGTATTCTCTACTTTCGTGAGTAATTAAAATGTTTGCAATCTGTTAATTCACAAATTTCTAATAAACCTGAGAAGAGGCGAAGTCGTACATGATGGCGTATCCCAATGTGTGAGTTAACTGTTCCTGAGATTCTTAGTACAGACGTCCTCTGCCTGAAATATAAAACTGACTACATACAGTCTTCAATTATTTTGTTATGTCTTAGGGTCTCAAATAGTACTCCGCAACCTTTGTTGATTGGCCTTCAACCAGATGCCTTTCATACAATTACTGGCACTCTTGAAATGATGATTGAAATTAAACAAGGTCTAGAGATAGAAAAGCAGACAATGATTACTTCTCAGTCATTGTTTAGCATGACGAATATTCTCAGAATGCTTCAAACAATGTGACAACTTTCTGTCTACTCATTCTTTTTTTAAATATTTCTTTGAAAACAAACTTAATCATAGTAGAAATACAAGATGGTTCGAGGCAATCAACAGGAAGCCCTGGGCCTAGATTTTGTGATAGTCGGCACTCATCAATCTGCACCAG